TTTTCACAGCGTGGAAACTACTGCCAAATGTGTCTCTGTGGGTGCTGCACACTGTAGAGAGAGGCTACAGAATCCAGTTTGGTTCTCCCCCGCCTCATTTCAACGGGATTACGCCCACGCTGGTGGGCCCCGAGCAGGCTCTGGTCATGGAACAAGAAGTAGTTACTCTTTTGAGGAAGGAGGACATCGAGGTGGTCCCTCCTCATGCGAGGCAGTCCGGGTTCTACAGCCGGTACTTCATAGTTCCGAAGAAGGATGGGGGGGTTGCGTCCCATTTTAGATCTACGTCATATGAACAGCTCAGTCATGCGACTGAAGTTCAGGATGCATACTCTCAAGCAAGTCATGTCTCAGATCAGGTCCGAGGACTGGTTTGTCACGATCGATCTAAAGGACGCATACTTCCATGTATCCATCCTTCCCACTCACAGGAAGTTCCTGAGGTTTGCTTTCGGGGGCAAAGCATACCAATATCGTGTTCTTCCTTTCGGCCTTGCACTCTCACCCCACACTTTCACGAAGTGTGTGGATGTAGCCCTGGCTCCGTTGAGACTCCAGGGCATCCGCATACTAAACTATATCGACGATTGGTTGATTTTAGCTCAGTCAGAGCGATGGTGGTTCGACATCGAGATGTCGTTCTAGCCCACATGAGAGAGCTGGGGTTGAGACTAAACGCCAAGAAGAGTGTGCTTTCTCCATTACAGAGGACCACTTATCTAGGCAGGGGGTTCTCCCCGAGGGGACATCCGCTTCGCATGTTCAAGGTCACGCGGCGATGCCTACGTGCCTTGGACATGTGGAGGAAACCTTAGTTCTTGGCTCAGGGCCCGCTGCTGGGAGCTCCTTGTCGCCGCGTAGTGCTTCATGCACTAAGACTCTTCCTCCCAGACCTAAGAGGTCACCATGTGCTGGTGCGCACCGACAACACAGCGGTGGTCTCTTACATCAACCACCAGGGAGGTCTGCGCTCACGCCGTTTGTACAAACTAGCGTACCAGATCCTTGTGTGGTCCCAGGGCAAACTTCTCTCGCTGAGAGCAGTTTACATTCCTGGGCATCTCAATTTGGGAGCAGACATCCTGTCGAGACAGGGTCCGACTCTTATGACATTGCACTGTCCCCTCTGGTTCTCTCGGAGTCATCCAGCTCCACTGGGGCTGGATGCCAGGGTACAGACATGGCCGAGGCTTTGTCTGTACGCCTTTCCCCCGATCGCTCTGCTCCCGGGAGTTCTGGAGAGAGTGCGCCGTGACAGTGGAGCCCCGTTCTGGCCGGGCCGAGTATGGTTCTCGGACCTGATTTCTCTCCTCGACGGCGCTCCGTGGGAGATTCCCGTCAGGAGAGATCTCCTCTCACAGGGCGGAGGGTATGATCTTCCACTCCCGCCCGGAGCTGTGGAATTTGTGGGTGTGGCCCCTGAGGGGGCACAACTCATAGCTTCCGGTCTCTCAACCGAGGTTGTTGAGACCATCCTCCAATCCAGAGCTCTCTCCACGAGGAAACTGTACTCCTTGAAGTGGAAACTTTTCATTTCTTGGTGTGGAGACCGCCAGCGGGGTATGTTCCTAAGGTCCCCTCCTCTACACCACGGCCTGTCATGCTCCAGGCCCTCAGTCCTCGTCCCTTAGGGGATCCAGACCAGTGCGAGCACTGGACGCATACGTCCACAGAGCTGCGGTGGATAGTGAATGCCATTTCTATTTCCTATGAGTCCTCTGATCTCCCTTCGCCGCTTGGGGTCCGGGCTCACTCTACTAGAAGTGTGGCGGCCTCTGAGGCCTTCCTAGCAGGTGTCTCCATGCAGGACATCTGCGACGCCGCGGGATGGTCCACGCCCCTGACCTTCGTCAGGTTCTATGACCTAGACATTTAAGCACTTAACTAAAATAAGTATTAAATAATTAAATAAATAACTAGAGAAGGCTGACTATAACCAGTTTGCTTCCATTTAGTAAGAAAAGCCTATACTCTTCACCTGAATTAGAAAAAAAAGCTCTTCTGGTCTTCAGTGATGCGAGGACAACGTTTGAGCATGTACACGCAATGTCTGAGCGAGAGCAGAGCCAATTCATGAAATAAAAAAAAACAATGTATCGTTAAAAGCACACGTCCAGTTTTGTCTGAGTGAAGGAAATCCGCTTGCGGATTCTTGTGGTGAGATTCTTGCTCACGCATTACATGGATCGCGTAACATGCGCTCTCGACATTTGTCATTAAGATTACGCTATAGAAACCGCTTAAAATGAAGACTAAAGAAGAGAAGAAAGCGGCCCTAGGCAGCTGCCTACACAGGATCTGCCACTGCCAGATGCAGTTAGAAATGTACTAAAAACAAGCCTATCGCAAGATATCTGGTAGGGGGGGCACCTGGGGTGGCCAGACAGATTTCAGTGGTGGCCGGTGCCCCTGGTCACGAGGCGATCACGTGAGGCGCTCCCTCTGGCATGATAATCTTAATAATATCTTCTAGTGTGTTATGCGCCATGATGTTAAAATTTTGTAGTGTGTGCATGTTTAAGATTTGAGAGAAGATAATCTGCAAAGATTCTCCTTATGTGTGTGCTGCAACCAGATTTCATAATCGGTTAGGATTTTAAAACTCCTGTAGTGTGAGCCCAGCTTAATGTAATTGGCCCTTTGCCTTAAGCTGGTTGATACGTGTTTAGTAGACCTGGCTGCTGTCATCCTCCTGTGATTATATAAAGAATTCATAACTAGCTCCACACATCCAGGTAGCATCTAACCAAATGAACTCTACCATTGTACTGGATGAGTTTTGAGATTACCATGAAAAATATGACAAACTCAGGGTGCTGTTCTTGAGGCTTCCCATCCTAAATTTAGGAAGTGTATACTCTGTTTACAGGAAGCTTGGCCCTGAGGTGGTCAACTTAGACACATTTGATGTATTGTATGTAACACCATCTTAATTCCAGGCTAGATAAATATTTAATGCCCTGGTTTTAGCAATAAGGGAGGATGTATTTACAACAGCCATGGAGCTATTAAATTATGCATGATTGCCACGGATAAACATCAGTTTTTGTTTCATGAATGGGCCATCATCTAATTTCATGGTCCAAAACTGCAGAAAATTTCAAGTAGCTTCAAGACAAATAACACTCATTTTAACCAAGCCAATTTAGCATTCAGAGAGCGACTGAAGCAGACTCTTAGAATGCAGATTGAACTAGAACAAGTTGTTAATTTGTAGTTATGGGCCCCTTTGAAAATTACCTTGCAAAAATTTGCCTTGTGAGTCCACTCTTAAAGCTTCTATTAGATGTCTGCACTCCCAACTGCTCTCTAGGCTGTCAGTTAATGAATCCTGTTGGTAAGGGTAACAGGATAATGGAAACTTTGAAAAAAGAAGAATCAATAAAAGGCACAAAGCAGGATATTGAATAATTGAATCGTTCAATCATGTTATGAAGGCCTCAATACAAAAGGCCGAATGGGTATTTGATTTCAAAGGGTCCATTATGCTGTTTTAGGAAGTGAGCACTGCTGATACCTCACCCATTCATACAACTAACAACCAAATACGCTTATAGAAAAGTAACCAAGTCTGACTAGACAGGTGGCATGTGAAATTTTAGTTTTGATTGTGTAGATATTTTAAAAGATACACTCTTAAAAATAAAGGATCTTTATTGGCATTGATGGTTCCATGAAGCACATTTAACATCCATGGAACATTTCAATTGCACAACAGATTATTTATAGTGGAAAAAGGTTCATTAAAATGTTCTTCACACTAAGAAAAAATGGTTCTTTTAGAAACTGTTTGCCGAAAGGGTTTGCTGAAAGCAACCCAAAAATGGTTCTTCTATAGCATCACTGTGAAAATACCCTTTGGAACCTTTATTTTTTAAGAGTGCATTCTATAATAATTGTTCAATGTGTGCATCAATTCTCAACCATTTCTCAGTTTGTCTCCTTGTGTTTTGGTTTAAGGAACCCAAGTTAGGCTCCACTTCTGCTGGGAATGAAACCAGCGAGGCGTAAGCTCACATAACTCCAAAATTCCCCTTCTGACTTTACAGTGACGTTGAGCCTCAGCTATTTGACCAGCCATTGTGTGTGGCTGCTTTCTGACAACATACTGAAAATATTTCTATCCCGTTCAGTTTCTTTTGCCCTTTCTTTCCAACTCTTTCCGCCTTGGGGGAGAGATTGAGTTGCCAATCTCATGGGTTTGGAACCTGAGAGGTGCCAATGTGGTGTAAAGCCAAGACCCAAAATCTGCAGTTCAGACTTCAAACAAGACTGCGCTATTGTGTCTACTCCTTTCCCCTTCTAACCAGGCAACACTCCCCTTTGTGTTCCCGTTGCACGGAAAGATGACACCAAATACTCCTCCTTTTCAAAGCCCAGCTGCATGCGACTGACATAAGAGGTAGTGTGAGAAAAGAGCTGATGAAGAGGACCTTATGGATATTGCACTGCATAAACTCCATACAGTGAGAAAGATACACAGGGTGTGAAGGTAGAGATGCTTGTTTGAGAAAGACAGGCGGCAAGACAAAGTGAGGAGAAAATTAGTTGTTAGGGAATTCTTCATTGATTTGTTTGTGACGTAAAATTTGAAAGTTCAGGTAGATAGAGAAAAAATATGATTCATGCATCTGACAATTTTTCGCCTCCATCAGCTGCACCGACAGATGAGGGTGAACGTTGGCTAGCTTCATTAGGACATGCAGATGGTTCAGAACTGTGCTTCGGCTGTCAGCGTTTAACACCTCACCCTGATGAGCACTGTCAGCCCGTCTGCTCGCTTGCAGGGTGCTGCTGGAATGTAGCGCTCTGGTGAAGAGTAATCTGTGAATGTTCTCCCCGTTCTGTTGCATCTGTCAGCATATCACTGCCTGCTCAGGGATTTCACCTCATGCAAATGAAGAACCTGTCCATGGCATGACTCAGAGTCTCCACTTAAACCCTCACACTCAAACACGCACAAATAAACCTCTATAGAAAGCCCTGACTCGCACACTTCAAACCACCCAGCATACACGCTTATGCAAAGTCAAGTGCCACTTGTATGATGCCATGCTTTGCTGGTTACAGTTAAACTCCTCATATGGCTGGTAAAATAATATGGTGTAAAGGATTTTACCATTTAAGATTTCCCCTAAGATTTCTTATTAATGATTCCAATGTTACTTTATGAGTGATGGATTAAGTAGTCATTTTGAGTTATTGTTATCGTCATTGTTTCTGTTCTGTTGTATGCAAATATAAACTCTTGTCATTTTATTGTTAATGGAGTAACAGTATTTAATGCTTTCTGTGTCGGGCGACACAATTTGGCCAGAGAAAATCTAACTGCTCTTAATTACAAAAAAAGGAATTCATTCATTCATTCATGGATTCATTTATTTGCAATTGCAGTTTGCAATTGTAGTATGATAAACAATGTGGCCAGAGAAAGTCATATTGATAGTAATTTGTTAAAAATATATTAATTTTTTAATTTTATATTTTTAAAATTATTTTTGTGCAGTTGAAGTTTGAACTGCTTTTAACTACTAGGTTTGGGCAATGTCTACCAATTTGGCATCGGACGATGTCTACAGTGAAACATTGTGATGCACGATGACATCGGGGGGCGGGGTTAGGGGTGTGCCCGAAGCATGAAACAAATAACGCATTATACGGAGCCACTAAAAGGTTAGCCGTTTGCTAGCGGTAGCCTGTTGCATTACAGTACATGAAAGTTCACTTACCACATACACAGAGTAAGGAGAAATGCCTGATAGGATGATGGCGAATGATCACTAATCATAAAGATGTCTGTCAGATGTCTGGGGGTAATCATAAAGATGTCTGTCAGCCTATCGGCCCAACCCTATTAACTACTCAACTATTTAACTAGATCTCCAAGCAAAATCTATCTATCTATCTATCTATCTATCTATCTATCTATCTATCTATCTATCTATCTATCTATCTATCTATCTATCTATCTATTTTGTTATTTTACCTAGTACATTAGTAATATATTTCTATCATAATTTCTGCACTTTCAAACATTAAACCCTTTGGCTTTTATTTTGGCAGAAACTGAAGGAAGACTTTTAAGTCTATGTTCAGTTCACAACAGATTTTAATGCTTCACTCAGAAGCACACAGCAAATCCAGACTTAATTAAATATTATTTGTATTGCAATTTTGGTTTTATTTTGATTATTTGTGCAGCTCTTCATCCAGGTTTATGCTTAACATGATTTACATGTTTCTGGATCAGCATCATTGGAGGACCAAGAACATTCCTGTTAACAGTCAAATTTTAAACGTCTAGGTTACGGTTAAGCATGGGGCTTGTTTGATAGGAATATTGTTCCAGGACCAATCACGAATGTTGATCCAGAAACATGCTCTTCTTGGCTGAATCTCGGCATGCTTTGGGTTTAGCATGTATTTATACAGATTTCCTCAAGTTAATGCATGAAACCCTAGCTAGCTCTCCATTGAAATGAATGGGATTGTGTCGCTTTGTCGCTTGTAGTGTGAACGGAGCTTAACGACTCCCGACTCCCACCACATTAACTAATAATGGCTTGATCAGATCATTAATGCAAACGGATTTACCAAATGGATGGGATTTAATTCATTTGCATAGGTTGCTGATTACTTCCAAGCAGGAAAAAGAATTCATCAGGAGAAATTCAGTGTTGGATCAGCACAATAACCCAGACCGAACGTCTCAATAAACACACCTCACTTGCTCTTTATCCCTTTCTCTTTTGGAACAAAACATCATAGATTATATGATTCTCCACCTTTCTTTGTGCTCTTTCATGCAGGATCTCCCAGTAGTCATATCATTTCCCATTTGGAGTCTGTATTGTTTTTCCTGTTGATTTGTTTCTACATCAAAATTCCATCTCTTTATCACAACTTACCCAGCACCCTCCTGTTTGGTTCAGTACCTGCTTCTTTATGTATACAAAACACTTGGAAATCCCCCTTCATAACTGCCGGGTTTCACAGTGATTTCTCAGCAGTGAGGTTAAAAGGTTTAATCATAAGCTAATCATGTTCACCTTCCAGTGTTTAAGTATTTAGTGCATCATACCTGGCGTTCTCAAGACATCACCTTTACATCACCTGCAGGTTTTTCCGTACCTTCATAGATGACATTTGATCAATGTTCTAGTCCACTGGAGTCTGTGAATAGCCCTACTGTGTGATATTTGAGTTTCTTTGTGTGTCTGGAAAGTGTAAGACATTATACCGATATGTATAAATCTAGTATATTTTGCATTGTGAAGCAGCTGAATTCTTTCTCCTGTGCAATAATGAGTTATGATTGGCAACTGGCAACAGACAAACACTGTATGTTAAAGAAGGAAACGACCCACTGTTGAGTTTGGGTGGGTGTAGGAGGAGTGGGTGAGAAAAGGGGCAAACCTGTCACATGTTGGCAACGTTTGGGGCCCATCCTAATCGGTGGTCTGCTCCCACATCCCCCAACACCCACTACCCCGCATGTTATTCAACTGAGCATGGAAACACAATGTTTATTTTAATTTTTTTTGCCGCTCAAAAAT